CAGGGGTACTCATTCAGGTTTATGAAGGTGAACGTGCCATGACCAAGGATAACAACCTACTTGGCAAATTTGAACTTACTGGCGTACCTCCTGCACCCCGTGGTGTTCCTCAGATTGAGGTCCCTTTCGATATTGATGCTAATGGTATCCTCAATGTTTCTGCTGTGGATAAGAGTACTGGAAAAGAGAATAAGATTGCCATCACTAATGACAAGGGCCACCTGAGTAAAGAAGACATTGAACGAATGGTTCAGGAAGCTGAGAAGTACAAAGCTGAAGATGAGAAACAGCGGGATAAGGTGTCCTCCAAAAATTCACTTGAATCCTATGCATTTAATATGAAAGCAACTGTTGAAGATGAAAAACTTCAAGGCAAGATCAATGAAGAAGACAAACAGAAGATTCTTGATAAATGCAATGAAATTATCAACTGGTTTGATAAGAATCAGACTGCAGAGAAAGAAGAATTTGAGCATCAACAGAAAGAGCTGGAGAAAGTCTGCAACCCCATCATTACCAAGTTGTACCAGAGTGCAGGAGGCATGCCTGGAGGAATGCCTGGGGGTTTCCCTGGTGGTGGAGCTCCTCTATCTGGTGGTGCCTCTTCTGGGCCCACCATTGAGGAGATTGATTAAACCAGTGTCTAAGCATAGATACCTTAGCATTGTTCCACAGTAAACCATTGAAGGACCCAAATTTGTAACACATTCAATAGCAGTTTTAAAAAGTAGAATTGCTATACTAAATTTCTGGGCATTCTCAATACTTGAATATCAAATCAAGTTAAGAGCATAGGGAAAGAAAGTAACATTGCACTTTATTAGCACTGTATTGTAAGTGGCAAATGCAATGTCTGAAATAAAGTTGTATTTAAAATTGGCAAAAAAAAAAAAGATTCACACCCTCGGAAACCCTGTACAGGTTCGCTATGGGTCGGAATCGACTCGACGGCACTTAACAACAACAACATTGTTAAAATGACATGAGATACAGAATTTAAATTTTTTGACTTACCATTGATGCTTAAGTGCCCTCTATTCCCAGAACAAGATATCCGGTCTTCTTCAAAGAAATTCCTAAAGATTTCCTCAGTCTACTTTGTGACCCCTAACATTTAGCAGCCACCATTTCAAACAATTTGTTTAGGCTGTTCTGACTGAGAAGTAAGTTGTCTATTCCTTCAAGGAACAGGTAATGGAACATAGGTTGGAACTGGGATCTCTAAGTATATATATCTAGTGAAGTCTTAGTCAAAGAATAAGGGCATGGGTAGGAAATAGCCTGGGTTACAGTGAAATAGTGCTTCTGTAGGAATCTCCAAAAGGAGCTCTGGTAGCGTAGTGGTTACAAATTGGGCTGTGAACCACAAGGTCAGCAGTTCAAAACTACCAGCTGTTCCGTGGGAGAAAACCGCATCTTTCTGCTCCCGTAAAGATTTACAGCCTCGGAAACCCTGGACAGGGTCACTATGAGTCGGAACCGACTCCACGGCACATAACAACAACAAGGAATCTCCAAACCAGTAATGTTTTAGAAGGTGGAGCTGCTATGGCACATGTTGGTAGAACTTCTTAAGCTTGTTTTTGTTGTTAGGTGACATTGCATTGGTTTCGAAGGAAACACAACACTACCTTCACAATAATAGCCATGTCTAAGCTTATTGTTACATTCCCTGTGTCAATCCACTTTGTTGAGGGTCTTCTTCTTTTCCACTGACCGTCTGTTTTACTTAGATGGTTGCCTTCTCTAGGATCCTTTTTTTTTAAGATTGGCATATTATGGAAACCCCTCTCCTAGGCTACAATCCCCGGAGAACTCTGGAACCAGTATTTGTTCTAGTTCTGCAAGAACTTTTTCTCTGAAATGAAAACCCAGATGCTCTTTGCAGCTGGTTTCACCTATTAGTTCTTTAATCTATTCTAGAAGAGAGCTTTGCTTCCATAATAGCCATGTGTTCAATCTGGGTAACTGTTTAAGATGCTGGCCTGACAGCATTAAATTGCAGAGGATATACCAGATACTGATTCTCAGTCTTGACTTCAATGAATTCTTCTCTTGTCCTTGACCCTGTTCCAAGCTCCCACCACCCTGTTCCCATCCCCCAGCCCCAAGTACTACCACCCTTTGGAGCTGAATGTGTGGATGGCTATGTGTTTCTAACTACTTATTTTAAATCAATCCTAAACTTTCTTTAGATATTCAAAGACTCCTTTCATGTTGTTTTTCCTTAGCAACATTTGTTTTTATTTGACTCACCCTTCCAACAATTGGGAAATGGAATCTTTGCTGAGAAGGTGCAAGTGAATAACACTGAATAGTTCCAATTCGGCTAGAGCTACAGGAAATGCATGAGGGTTACAACCCTTGTCAGAGTGAGACACATGCTTTTATGAAGAGCATAGATTTGAACAATTGCAACTAAATACACTCATCCTAACCTCAGCACCCCTAAGCAATATTGGTAAATGGTGACCTTTAAAACAAAAAAACCCAGAAAGGTTTTTAGATGTGGGGTGGACAAGATTGGGATTGCATTTTTGGCACCAGTTTTTCAAACCCCACACAAATATATGTGTATATATACTTTATTTTAAAAGTTTTCCTTTCTAGTTGACTTCTAAAACTTACTTCCACCAACCTTTACTCTTAACTGTTGTTTTTTTTTTTCCCACTGCTCCTTGATTCCTAGGTTAGGAAAACAAACATTTGCTTTCAGTCATAGGTATCAGAGAAGCAAATATCAACTCAAACATGACCAAAAGTCAGTTGAAGGAGACACAGAACAAATTGGAATTCCTTGTGGCCCCCCTCCTGGTTTCTTTTAGGCCCCGGGCAAGTGAGCATGTGCTAATTTGCATGGTTGGCTAAATGGCATGCTTAGACCCCAAATTTGCATCTCTGCTTGGGTTCAAAAGTGGGCCCCTGAGCTAGTTTCCCTTAACTTTTCTGTTAGTTCCTACTCAGAAGTTAAACCCATTGGGAGTGCTGCTCAGCAGGGTGCATCTTAGTACAGAGAAGCTGTAATTGGCTGGGCCACATTCTTCCTCTAATGTGGGGCACAGACAGCTGGTACTGATGTGGTGGGATGAAGTAAGGAAGATGAAGAAATGGGGAATTTCAAATGCAACCAATACAAAAGACTTCTAGGGACTTGTACTACTTGCCTCATTCTTCTTCTTTACAAATGAAGAAACTTCTTATAATTCAGGGTGGGATGGCTTTTCACTCTCCTTCCACCTCTCCAGGCTTGAATGGGTAAGTGGGGGTCAAAAACTACCTGAGCAGCTTTATGCAAGCCATTAAAATGTTCTCTCTCAATTTCCTTACATATGAAACAGGAGTCATATTCTTTTCCAATTTAATGTACTGGATTGCTATGGAGTTTATAATGATATTTGGGCATCATCTGTGCTCTGGAGATGAAAATGTGGCTTCATTTTATATACTGTGCTGAGAAAGTTTCTGGAACACAACTGAAGAGCCTTGGAAAAGAAATGTCAGGATATAATGACTGCTGTGAGGTGTGGTCCCTCCTCTTAGCCTGTGCCATCAAATCGATTCTGACTCATGACAACCCCTATGTTTCAGAGTTCAATGGCACACTATAGGGTGTCCTTGTCTGTAATCCTCATGGAAGCTGTTTGTCAGTCCTTTCTTCCAAAGCACTGCTGGATGGATTTGAACAGCTGGTCTTTGGACTAGCAACCAATCATAAACCACTGTGTCTCCTCTTGGTCTCCCATAATCTAGTTCAGTCCTGCCATTTCATGGAGGAGGAAATGCAAGTTTAGAGAGCTGAGGCAGGGTGTTAAGTCACTATCAAAGCAAAGTGGTTCGCACTATGCATTTATGCAAGAAACAAAGACTTTACTAGATTACTATTTTAGACTTTTCTGGGAAGAATATTGAGTTGAGGAAATATTTCTTTGGTGACTATATTAGTTTAGTTGCAAGGGTCAGAAACCTAACTCCAGCAAGCTGTGGACTAGATTGGTCATCTGTCAATTTACAACCATGTTGGATTTGAATAACCAAACATGAGAAGAGGAGGGATAATGCTAAGCCTCAGGAATAACTGGAAGCAGGTGTTTGAATACTAGAGACCCTTCCCACAAATCTCACAACTCTTATCTACTTGGTTTTCAACTCTCCCCCTCTCCCCCACATTTTTTTGGCTTCAGCCACAAGAGGGAGACTGTATCATTCTCTCTGTGCTCTGAAATTTAAAGTAACTCAGTAACGTACACTGATTGGTTCAGATTAAGGAAGGGAATGAAGTAATATACAAACATGGTGGCTTCCATCAACAGCACTTGAATGGAGTAGAGGAAGAGCTAACTCCTGAAAAAGCAGAAGGATCCTGACCAGAAAACTAGTATGACAGGGCCACTTAGAAAACACAACGAATGGCATATCACAGACTTCTCTCCTATCATGAATTAAGACAGATGGATCTGACATTTGTGACCATCAATCTCAGTTTCCAAACTGTCCTGAGATACAATTTTTCATTTGATATGCTTTCTCCATCCAAGCAAACAATTCTTCTGATTCTCAACTGAAGAAGAGAGACAATTCTAGAATAATAGGGGACTGCTTTGGACCAATTATAATGACAATAGTTTGTAGGTCTCAGACCTGATACCGCCAGAGTGGTGTTTTCCAGAATCATTTGACTTGACATAATCATCAGTCAGTGTTCTGATTGGAACCTTGAATAAAATAGGATGACCCTTACCAGTTCCCTACAATTGATTTTAAGAAGGCTGGCTTAAAATTCCATGGGTTTTTGGAGTTCCCGAGTGTTACAAATGGTGAAGCACTGAAAGGTTGAAACACTGAAATGTTGCAGATTTGAATGCAACCAGAGGAACCTTGGAAGACAAAATTAGCAATCTACTTTTGAAAAATCACAGTCATTGAAAATTCTATGCAGTTCTATTCAGAAACACATGGGGTCACCCTAAGAATCAACTCCAAAACTGGTTATTGGTTATCTTTTCTTTTATCTCTCGGGTGTCAAGTGAAGTATTGTAGTTTTTCCTGGGTTAAACAAAGTAATAAGTTACACATATACTTCCATACTCTAGCAATTAAACAAGCCAACTAACCAAATGTTAAGTGGAAAGATTAAAACCCACCAGAGGCTACTGGGTGAACACAAGGGCAATTGAGGTGACACAAACAAAAAGGTCCCAAAGCTTTTCTCTGAAGGCAGTTTTTATGTTCTAGCTAGGTGTTACTGAGATTAGAAATACAAGGTAACATAATTATAAGGCAAGTGTTTTGACTGCCTCTAACATATAGCACTTTATAAATCAGTAAGTCATTGTTAATGTTCCTGGAGAAAGGAGGCTTTCAAAATAAAATAAAACATCTCAGAAATTAATTGTGTCTTTCTTCTATTAAATAACCCATTTTTGCCTACAGATATGGCTGAATTCAAATGAAGGCAGCATTTTCGTATTCAAAAGAGATTTTAAGTTGAACATTAACGTCATTTTAACTAGGCCAAGGACTAAAGAAAGAAGATAATAATATATATATATATTTTGTTGTTGTTGTTGTTGTTGTTCTGCCAGAGATCTTCTTTAATGTACCCATAGTATTGAAAGAAATAGATATTTCCAGTACA